CTCTGTCACTTTTAAGGTCATCAGTTTGCATAACTCAACCTGCATTTGCCGTGTGCTGTGATTTACTTACTGTGAGTGTCAGTTCTAAAGGCAGAGTCTGCATATCATTCCTATCCACTTTGGAGTGGTCTGAGTTTGAAGGCTTTTCCCAGCTTTTCAAGTGTTGATTTGGAACGACGACAACAAAAACCCATAGACTTGTTTGGCACAGCTGTGCTGGCAAAGGGAGGGAGCATTCCTTGTGTCCTTCAGAGCATTTTGCCCATCACTTATTCGGATTGTTATGTGGCAACATCGATCTGATGTAAGCCCCTACCTCTTCTGCTCTGAACACCTGGACTTCCAAACATCTCAGGAGCTCTCTAACCTTCTCGCTTGTTTCATTGCAGACGCCTGTAAAAGAGCCCAACAGTGAAAATGTAGATATCAGCAGTGGAGGTGGGGTGACAGGCTGGAAGAGCAAGTGTTGCTGAACGTTCTCCTATATCACCAATCGCCATCCACCGCCTCTTTTTTCTCGCTGCAAAACAAACCACTCTGTCCGTTTTTAACCTTAAACCAATGTTTTGTTCCTCATCTTAACGAGCTCCTGTCTCCCTTTGTTCTCCCGTGTAGGACAGCTTGCATACTATAATTTCCTCAACGTATGTAGGAAAATCATCTCCGTGACTTCATTTTTTAATGTACCTGCTCCACTTACCACTACGTTTTGGTTGTATTATAGCCCCTCTCCTCCCGACATTAAAACATAGAGCAATCGTATTCAACTCTCTTCTGCAAATTGTATAAGAATAAAAGTTAGAATTAACAATTTATTTTGTACAACAGTGGAATTTTCTGTCATGGATAATGTGCTCGAGTCACCGTGTTCACTAGATGCATCAGCAAAAGAGCCAGGAAAACACTCATGTTCGCCTTGAGTATGTGAATGGGGTTTCTTTTGTCCTGTGCCTTACGTGGAAAGGAACTTTTATTTTCACTTTAATTTCTCTTCTGGTGGAAGCATGTGCAGGAGACATACCATCCATCCCTGACCATTTCCAAGTATCCAACTCTTTTGTGATTGCTTTCTGTAACTGTTGGTGTCATGCATCGAGGACAAAGGGTGGTGCAAAAAAAAAAAACAAAACAAACTACTACTACTACTACTACTCCATTTAATCTGCTGCGTCTCCTTTTGGTGATCTCGCCATTCGGAACTGTTCCTGCTGCCGTTTTCTTTTCTCACTCGCAGCTCTTTCCTTTTTGCCTGCATGCTGCTTTTATTTGCTTTCCTCCATGGTGTGATGTGTTAATTAAAAAGGATGGCAACGTGGTATGTTTGCCAAAAATTTAATACAAAGCACTGATTTAGCTTTCAAGGTAAGATGTTGACGATACCTACTAATTTCCCTCTAGCCAATGTCAGTTCACTAGTATATCCTCTCTCCTCCTGCATAGCCGTTGGGTTTTATGATATGGAAGAGTTATTTGCATGCACTAGTTTTCTATGGAGGGTGATGTGGTTGTCTACTTTATGTGTATGAATATAACATGCGATTCCCAAACTGACAGCATTTAACGTGAACTTTTTCAGTTCTCTCTCACCGTTAGCCGCTCCAACAACGAGCTGTTGGGTAGCCGAGCACGAGGCTGAGTCAAACTTAGGTTAGAAAGGAATGATAGCAACAAAACGAAGACAAAAGTCGGCAGTTTAATTTATTACCTCCCCCCAAAACCTTCCACTTCCCGAGCCTCGCGTTTTTCTCCAAGCTCACATTTGTCCGCTTGGGTTTTGGACTTTCTCCAGTAAATAACGTAGCGGGTAACGCTGATTGAATTTTAATGAAATGACAGTGTTTGAACGTGGAAATCCTAGCTCTGAGCCACCTCCCATGTAGGGATGTGGCCACGCAGCTCCCTGTCCCATTTGGCTCCGCCTTCCGCCTAAACTGCACTTTCGAACGTTAAAAAATCAAAAAGGGAAAATGGAGAAAATAGACATCTTTTTGTTGTTGTTTTTCTTTAATATATAACCTTTCTTTGAAACGTGAGCTTTTTATTTGCTCCTGGGGCTTGGCTCCTTCTGTGTCAACCCATCGGGACCCTCTGTAGGCGCTGTGCTGGTGGCTCCCACCCCTTACACCCAACCTCGGCACCGCCATGACCTTGGCCAAGTCTTTAAACCCAAACATCGCTACAGGTTCTGCTTCCCTTCATGCAAAAAAAAAAACAACCCACAACCAAAAACCTGAATGTTGACCACGTAGCTTGGCTTGGCTTGGTTTTTAGTGGAGTGGAAGGCCCAGCTGAGGAGGAGCGAGCAACCAGAGTCAGTTCAGATGCTAAAACGTAACAAATAACGGCGTTGGTTTTTAGATACGCTGCTCTAGCATTAACTACAGCCTGGAGGCAGGGGTAAGAGCTAAGCCAGCCTGGGGCTGCTCCTTTTGGCACGGCAAAAATGTCACTGAATGAAATTGGTCCTGATGAACTAAACCCCAAAGCTGATCCATTGTATGGGCGCCTCAAGCAGGCGGGGCCGGGGTGGAAGCCGCGCTTCGTCCGATCGCATTTGGATGGTGGAAAAAACCAAACAGCATCGACTTCAGGTCTAGGATTAACTCCCATGCCTACAATTTTTTACTTAATCTTTTAATATTTTTGCTATTCCACTCTGGCTTTTTATTTAAAACACATTCTTTTGTACCACTTAACTGTATCAAATTGTATAAAAGATCACTGTCCCATTCTTGGTCATACCAAGAGCAAATAAAAGCTTTTATAAACTTGCACTGGTTCCTTCCTGGGCCCCTCGTGTCCCACTGCGTCCTCCTCCCTCCCCCCCAGCTGTGATCATGTGGATGTGGCAATAAAGCCTTCCTGCTCTAAGGAATGGTGTTTGGATGCAGCCTTTGCTTGGCGTGCTGTACAGGATCCAGTCCTGTTTGTGTCCCCACAGCTGTCCCATGCTCTGTGTCCACCACTGCAACCCAACGTGCCCCACAGTGGCTGCGTTTGGTGGCTGAAGCACTGCCCTTCCTCTCTATGCAGGAGCTGTTGGCAGCAGCCCCTATGGCTGCAGGTTTGGGCAGTGCCATGGGATGTGGGTACGGCCACACTTGGCCTTGTTTCCTCCTCCTGTAGCTGTGGGAGCTGGAAGAGGGGCTTCGTGCAGAGCTGCTGCTGAGGCTGTGGCAGCCAACAGTGCAGCCCTGCAGCCCAGAGGTGTCACTGTGCCACCGTCACGGTGCCATCCGTGGGGAGGTGGTGGCTCTCCCTGCCTGCCCTGCTCCCGGGTCTGTGTGCTGGGTGTGATGGAACCTGCTGTGGTTTGAAGCCCTGTGCCAGCAGAGGGGTTCCCTGTTCTATCTGCGTTCCTTTCCCATCCCCATCTCTGCTCCAACCCCATCCCTTCTCCTTTCCTACTCCATCCTCTGCTCCATCCCCATACTTTTCCCATCCCCATCCCTACGATGTCCATCTTCTCTGCTCCATCCCCGTCCCTGCTTTGTCTCCATTCCCATGCATACTCCTTTTCTGCTCCATCCCATCCTTGTTCCATCTGTCTCTGCTCCATTCCTGCCCTTTCCCTTCACCGTCCTTACTCCTTCCTCATTCCCATCTCCATCCCTTTCCCACCCCAACACTGATCCAACCCCAGCTCTGTTTCTTCCCCATCCCTCCTGCATCTCCATCCCTTCTCCTTTCCTGTTCCATCCCCATCCTTGCTCCATCCTCATCTGCTCTCCGTTCCCTTCCCATCCAGATCCTATCCCTGCCCCCATCCCTGTTCCATCCCTCTTCCATCTCTGCTCCTTCCTATCCCCATCCCTGCTCCATCCCTGTCCCTACTGTCTCCATTCCCATGCCTACTCCTTTCCTGCTCCATCCCCATCCTTTCTCCACCCTTCTCTGCTCCATCCCCATCCCTCTTGCATCCCTATCCCTTCTCCATTCCTGCTCCATCCCCATCCTTGCTCCATCCCTGCTCCTTTCCCTGTCCCATCCCAACCACTGCTCCATCCCTATTCCTTCCCACTCCCCATCTCTTCTCCATCCCTTCTCTTTCCCCATCCCATTTCTTCCACCAACTTCAGAGTCTCATACGATCACTGAGTATCCCGGGCCCAACAGCTCTCAGGAGGGACTGTAACCCCCCCCCCCCCCCCCCCCCCCCCCCCCCCCCCCCCCCCCCCCCCCCCCCCCCCCCCCCCCCCCCCCCCTCCCTTTCTCCATCCTTACGCTCCTCCAACCCTTTCCGCACCCGGCTCCGGTCCCGGTGAACGACACCGATGGAAAACGGAGCGGTGCTGGCCGCCTCCCCCCCCCCTCACCGCGGCCTCGGGGCCTCCTGAGCCCGACGGCGGCGATGAAGCGGAGGAGATGGAGAAGCTGGCGGCGGGGCTGGCCCGGCTCCGCTGGAACCCCGCGGCTCTGCCCCTGGATGCCATCGTCAGCAAGTGCCGGCTGCCCACGTTGGTGTGCCTGGGGCAGGGTGAGAACGGCGGGGGGGG